AGACACACATGCTCCAGGGTCAAGCTGGGGCTGGAATCCCCCCTCTTTAATTCCAAAGTTGTGTCTCTCCACGAAGCCAGACATCCGATTATTAGAACACACTCTTGCTGCTCACTCATTCACAAGAGTAAGATATTCTGGTAAAGAGCATTCCTGATTATTCCAGCTTGAAATGAATTTGCATTTTTCTGTGCAACACAAAGCTTAGAAATGAATGATGACACTGGGAAAATCTCAGGAGAATTTACAAAGATTGCTAACGAGCAGATGTGTCTAATGTTTAGATGAAAATATTTTCTCCTTTAGAATTCTACAGGCTCAGATCTCCCGTGGCAACACCTTGCATTCTCCATGTCTTTGAAAAACAGCTGATAGGGAAGAGTACATAGAGTAGAAATTTGTTTATAGCAACACATTTTTATATGGAGAGAAAGCATATAAGCACAAGACAGAGAGACTGCTAAGGTAAAGTGTATTTGGGTCCTCAGACCAAAAAAAAAAAAAAAAAAAAAATCTTACTCTGCCTACATTCCCTAGAGGAAAGAAACGATACAGTTGGGATGAACTGCACAATTGGTCATCTTTATTGGGACCACTGAAACAGCCACTGAGGTGGGGTTGCAACCTTGGCATGGCAAATGACTGTCATAAAGGCCTGCTTCAGCACTGTGTCATTTGTGAGTTGAGCTGGGAGCCTGAGTTTTCACGGAGGTTGACAGCAGTTTCACTACCTCGTTAATGAGCAATTGAGGAAACTCCATCTCAGGTTGGGAGGAGTCAGATCTTACCTTCCTGTTCCTCTGCCCTCGTGGCTCTGTGGTGGGCTTGCAACACCAGTGTGCTTCTCCTCACTTTCTGTGCCCCAAGTGGCGGACTGTTTCAGCCCCGCTGGTTGTGAAGCTGACATTATAGATTTGGTGTTCTGCATGGGGCTGTGACACAGAGTGAACCCTAGAAGTGGACACTTGGGCTCTCAGAGGTGAGCATCAGTCAGCAGGACACCAAGAGCATGGCTGCCTCAGAGCACAGATCCACATCTTACGGTGGGTCAACAGCTCAAAGTTCAACACGTGCTACCTGCACTAAGGCATATTGGCATACAGTTGGCATTTAAAAAAAAAAGAGAATTGTGCGTGTATCTGGCATCTAATAAATGTGTTAACTTGCATTTCTTTGCTCACTAGAAGGTTGAATTTTGTTACATGGGTTTACCAGCCATTTTCATTCCATCGTCTGTGGGTCCCTTAGCTGCAAGTGTCTTGAGACCCACTTCCCTGTTCTGCAAAGCCTCCTATTGTGTCAGCTGACTCTCTCCATGTTTTCACTCCTCCCTCATTTGCTACCATAAAACCCATATTTGATCTCCCTTATGATTAATATCTGGAGAAAGTCAGCTACCACAATGGCATGCTCTGTCTGGGCTCTCGCAATTTGTGCCATTCAACTCATCCCTCTGGGGCTGCAAGCAGTAGAAATAGGTAGGATCCTTTAGCTTTTCATTTCTCCCACATACAGGGCTCTCTGTCAGCCACCTCTGAATCTCCACCAGCTTTTCATCTGATCAAACCTAAATATAACTTTTTTAACATAGTTGTAGGAGGTGCTTTTCACTTTTCTCTAGACTGGGCAGGGAACAGGACATTTACATTACAAGTCAGTGTTAGCCCAGTAGGAAAGCTGATCTTTCACTGGCCAGTGAGCACAATAAGGAACAGGGAGGTTAGGTGCCCTGACCCTGTCATATAGCTATTGAAATCCAAGTTATCTCAATTTCCAGTAGGTGCATGGTCCATACCCACCCCCAGGTCCAAGCAAACAGCCCATTCCTAGGGAACAGACAAGAAACATTTGATTCCCTACAGGTGGGAAATTGCTATGGATTCCAGTTTGCATTTCCCAGTGGAGAGAAAATAAGGACACTAACCAATGAAGAGATCTTTTCCAGTTTTCATATAATTTTTGTTCAGTCACTTCTTCTTTTCCTTTTTTTTTTTTTGAGACGGAATTTCACTCTTGTTGCCCAGGCTGGAGTGTAATGGCGGGTCTCAACTCACTCCAACCTCCACCTCCCAGGTTCAAGCAATTCTTCTGCCACAGCCTCCCAGGTAGCTGGGATTACAGGTGCCCGCCGCCACACCTGGCTAATCTTTGCATTTTTAATAGAGACAGGGTTTCACCATGTTGGCCAGGCTGGTCTAAACTCCTGACCTCAGGTGATCCACCTGCCTCAGTCTCCCAAAGTGCTGGGATTACAGGCATGAGCCCCCACGCCTGGCCCAATCCGTCACTTCTGCCAGCTGGAAGCTGAAATGGTCCAGGTCTTTAAGCAGACCTCAGGTGTTCCAGGTGAAGTTGTGGTGCTCTCCTCAGACCAGCTACCTGGGACTCCTCATTCTGACTTAAGGGAAAATGCAAATGCCTTCAGAGGCCAAGACAGTAAGTCAATGTGACGAGTGGATGGGGTAGGGCCAAAGGTATGCCATGAGGGCAGGAACTGCATCCCTCTTGTTCACTGCTTTATCCCAGCACCTGCAACAGAGCTGGCACACCATAGGGTCCCAATAAAGATGTAGAATGAACTGTGGGGAGTACAGAGAACTGGGAAGTGCATATCTCACAGGAGGTATTCTAGGCCAAAAAGCATGGGTAATATTTGCCTTCAAGCTTACAACTCTCATGACTGAATAAACAAGGCTGTTTATAGATGGAATAAAACAATGATGGTCAAACAGTATTGTTGGCCAACTTACCCTTTTGATTGTATGTTCAGTTGAAGTCAGGATACAGATCACTGTTTCTGTTTAAGCATCTCTTAAGTCCTTTCCATTAATACCTTGGACCTTTAATGCCCTGTGCTGTTTGGAAATTTGTGTAAATTTTTGCTTTCCCCTCTCTCATGCTATGGTCTAACTTCTTTTTCTGAATCCCTTGGTCACATATCTTTCTTTTCAAAAGATCTACAAAGGCACTGTGTCTACCAAATAAGGAGCAATCTTTCTAAACACGTTTTATTCCTAATAAAAGGGTAACAAATCCGCTTTTATGCATACAATGTTGCCCTTTCTGAAACAGGCTTAAGCAGTGGTAGCTGGTTCTTGCCAAAATTATTTTGAGCCCAATTTGTCTCCAAAATCTCCCACACCAAGCCACAGGATCCTGAAAAGTGGGGGACATCCTCTGCACATTTTTCCTAAGGTGAAGACTTGGCTCTGGCTGTTCTCTTGGACATTACCCTTATTCTGGTGGGTCTGTATCACCTCCCCTCTATCTCATTCCCCTGGGACCCCAGACCCTACCTTTTTGGTATGTAGCAAAGACCCCTGAACCAACAGAAACATGGCTATTGGGTCAGTCAAGCAGCTATTGTGGATTAGACAGGCTAAGGCTAAAGAGGAGCCCTCTGGCACATATGTCCTCACCCCAGAATGGCTTGACAGGTGTGAGACCATGTGCCTCAGTGTAGAAGCCCAGAGTCAGCTTCTGGACTATAGACTCAGCCACTAATTTGTCACTTAGCCCCTTTGCTTCTCTAGTGAAGTGGGAGGGCCAACGGAAACCTTCTCTAGTGAGACAAAACCTAAAATAGAATCCACTCGGAGGAACAAATTTTGCAAAATCAAGTCATAGCTATCATTAACATTTTGGTCAAGATTGTATGGGTCAGATAGATACCTTAGAAAGGCGTATCTTACCAAACATTTTACTGGTCACACGAAATATGCCTGTGAGCAGTATTCAACTTCTAATTTACAAATGATATGATGAGATAAACAAAATTGTTTGTAGATGGAAACCATGACTGCCAAGCAACAGTGATCTCCAGCTTATTGCATGATGCTATATGTTCAGATGAACTCAAAATGCAGATAATTCTTTGGGATTGATGTGCCTCTGCTCCATTAATGACATTGGCCCAAATCCGGATTGATTGTAATTTTGAACCTTGAATGTAAAAGCTGGAAGTGACCTGTGTCAGTCAGGAATACGTTCAGCCACAGATAACAGAAAACCTGGCCAACAGTGGCTTCAACAGATAGGGGATCTTTTTTTCACATAACATGATATTCAGAGGCAGGTGATGACTCCCATTGGTTCACCCAATCCAGTGCTCTCTGAGTCCAAGCTCCTTCAGTCTTTCTGCCCCATCTCACTTGGAGGTTTGGCATTCTTCTTCAATTCTGCTGGCTCATAAGCTGCATGTCTATGTTTAAGGCAGAAACAAGTGGGGAGGAAGAGAGGAACATTAGATGCACCAATTCCCCTGATTAGGAAAACAAAAGCTTATCTAGAAACTCCTCAGGCTTTCCCTGTGGACTCACTAGTTAAAATTGTGTCACATGACTATACCTAGCTGCAAGGGAAGCAGAAAAATTGAGTATTTTCCTGTTCACCCCCATGGTAGAAGACAGCGAGAGAGAATGGGCTTGAAAATAGGTTTGTGAGCTAATACACTGTCTATCAAGAAATTACAGAGAAATTCTTTCTAGTACCTTCATTGTACAAATGACAAAAATGAGTTTCAGAAATGAGAAATAACTTGGCCAAGGTCCCATAACTGGGTGAATTTAGAGCCAGAACTGGAGCCCAGGTCTCTTAAATGCCAGTCCAGAAAGCTACCCACTGGACCACACTTCAGTCGGAGATTGAAGTTTTGCTGATGAAGTATAATATTATTCAGCAAATAAGGTAAGAGATACTAAACTACCAGCAGTAGGCAGAGGACATACAGCTTCCACTCTAGCACTCCTTCCTCCTTCCTTCCCCAAGAATCTGAAATAATTTATTATGAGTCACAGAAACTAGGCAAAGTCAAATCAGGCCTCCCCTCAGTTCTCTTCTGCTGTGTCTAGTTTAATCTCATTCCTCGGCACATTGGTGTTTGTGTGTGGAATTACAGAATCAACCTCATGATGATGAGTGTCATGATAACATAGAATTTCTGTGTCATTGTTAATGTGCTGTTCTTGTCTTCTGTCCCCTTCTGTTATCGGACCAAACAGAAGTTTTCTGCTGTTTCTCTCTGCAACATCTCCACAGAAGTCCTGAAAGTCATCAATGCCACAGAGGAGTTGATAGCAGGATCTACAGGGCCCTGGGAGTCCCCACAAGTCCCTCCTGACAGAGAGAAGGGGACGTTTCCTCGTGGGACAGACCAAGTGAGACTGGATGAGCAGCTGACTTCCCTGGAAGAAAATGTAAGAGGGTGTGGAGGTGCCCTGTCTAGGGTGAATGTGTGTGAAGAAGCTGATGAAGTTGTAGCTTATCATGAAGAATGCAAGGATACACACACCACTACCACCATAGCAAATACATTCTCAGGAAGGACCTTAGGTTGGATTCTCCAGAAGCAGACTCTGAGATGAGGATTTGTGTGCATGTGACTTATTAGGGAATGCTCCCAAGGGAAGCTAGTAAGGGAATGGGGAAAGTAAGGGAAAGGGAAGAATCCAAGCAAGGACATGATCTTACACAAAGAGGAGCTTCAGCTTGATCCTGCAGAGAGCTCTGGAGTAGAAGTTGCACCTCAGAGTTGTCCTGACCTAGGGCAAAAGAACTGACCCTTCTTACAACCAGCAGGCACTTCAGTCTCTTTGCACGCAGGCAGTGTCTCTAGTAGCCCAAAGGCAGTCCCCTGTATAGATATGGGCTGCTAGGAATAAAAGCTTGGTGGGCAGGGAGAAGAGTATAGAGAAACTATAAAAGAGATCCAAGGGGATCCAGGTATTGCCAGTGCCGCTACAGGGGATGAAGTGGTTGCCAAAAGAACTGAAGTTACTACAACTGGTCTTCTCTGCTTCTCTAATTTAAGATACCAACACAATCTGGTCAGGTGCTGTGGTTCATGCCTGTAATCCCAGCACTTTGGGAGGCTAAGGCAGGCGGATCACTTGAGTTCGGGAGTTTGAGACCAGCCTGGCCAACATGGTGAAACCCCGTCTCTACAAAAATACAAAAATTAGCTGGGTATCGTGGCAGGCGCCTGTAATCCCAGCTACTTGGGAGGCTGACCCAAGAGAATCGCTTGAACCCAGGAGGCGAAGGTTGCAGTGAGCCAAGATGGTGCCACTGCACTCCAGCCTGGGCAACACAGTGATACTCTGTCTCAAAAAAAAAGATACCAACACAATCATATGTAATTTATGTTTCCAATGAATCACCCAAGTCTCCTTGTGCCATTAGCAACAAGAAGCCCACTGTCTTTCTTCTGAGCCTACCACACTCCACTCCAAAATTGTCCAAGCACTCTGGGAACTGAGTAAGACTCCACTGTATTACCTTCTGACCATATTTAGACCTCAGACTGCCATCATTTCCCCCTCCCCAATTCCTATGCTCCCCAATAAGGATGCTAACCAACCACTGCTAGTGGATCTGCCAATCAAGAGGAAAATGCCTAACATCAACTATATTCAAAATTACATTTCTTCTTTGGAAAGAAAACATTTAGCATAATGCCTGCAAAAAAGTACACATAAATATTGGTTATTCTTATTAGTATTTGAAAGGCATGTCATCAGCCAACTCCTAAAATGATCCCATTAAAATTCACTAAATGGGTTGTTAAAAGTGATTCCAACTTTAATAACACACACTCTTAGCTCTTTCTCTCATCCTGGAACAAGTATGCATTTGCTGCTTTCAAGAGAAAGACACTTGAGAAAGAAAGGAAGTAAAACAAGTCCTATTGGTGATTTTGCTTTATTGAAAAATCATCCATTTTTACAGAAGTGTAGGCAGAGTGGCCCAAAAGACTCATCTGCCTCATTCATCCTGTTTTTACTTGTTGCTTCTCCTGAGGACCCTGACTTAGGTAGCTGGGCTTTCCCTGGTGCCAGATCCTTTTCTGCCTGAAGGAAGCCATGCCTCAGAGTCAGGGTCACAGGGAAAGAAGGTGAGATCTACCAGATGTCTGGAAAGGGGGAAGGGGATGAAGGGGAAGGTGCTCACAATCTGTTTCAACATTTAGAAGGGTTAAAGACCATCAGCCAAGTCAGCTGGTTCCCTGTGGAAACTTGTACATCTCTGAAGGCAAAATCAATGTACTTGGGGGAGGGAGGAGAAGACAGTGCTTACATTTACCTTTCTTCAGATTCAATTCCATTTAGTTTGTACGCCTAAAAGGTATTCGCAAATATAGTCATGTGCTGTATAATAAGGTTTTGGTCAATGGCGGATCACATATACAACAGTGGTGGTCCCATAAGATTATAATGCTGTATTTTTATTGTACCTTTTCTATGTTTAGATACACAAATAATTACCATGGTGTTACAATTGCCTACAGTATTCAGTACAATAACATGCGGTAGCCTAGGAGCAATAGGCTAGGTGTGTAGGAGGTTATACCATCTAGGTTTGCATAGGTACACTCTATGATGTTCACACAATTTTGCATTTCTAATAATATATCCTCATTGTTTAGCAAAGCATGACTATGTTTAGGTTAAAGGACTTTGTAATTTCCCCCTTCCATTCAAAGAGAAGAAAAATTCTTGGCTGTCAAGTAAGAGGAACCTGGCCTGGAGGTGGGGTGGGTGTGAGTGATAACTTCAGAGTTCAGGAAAGCTCTCACTGCCCCTTGAGGAGTTGGATGTTTGGTTTGGCCTAATAGGGATATTTGCTAGTAATGGATTTTTCAGTCCTTCTGATTTGTGATGAAATAAACAGTGTAATAAATTTTTACAGATAAATATTCACGATCACTGAGTATTTCAGGAAATAGCTGAGGATAAGAATTTTCCAGTACTCCAGACCAAGGGTGACACTGAGAAATTTGGACATTAACACTCAAGCTGTAGTCACCATCAGTAGTTGGCATGGCTCTTGCCATGAAGTTGATATCAAATCAAGTTAGGTAATGCCAGCTCCTGCAAAGTCAACTGTGCTTTTGAGGTGCTCTAATGAATGCTGTTCCCAGAAATCAGGAATTGTTATTAGAGTGTTTTTTTTAAAGTAGAAACGGGATCTTGCTATGTTGCCCAGACTGGTCTCAAACTCCTGACCTCAAGTGATCCTCTTGCCTTGGCCTCCCACATGCTGGGATTACAGACATGAGCCATTGTGCCCAGCCTGAAGTATTTTTTGATAAAAGTTGAAACAATAAGAAATGAAAAATGTTTAACTGCAGGCTGGGTGTGGTGGCTCACGCCTGTAATCCCAGCACTTTGGGAGGCCAAGATGGGAGGACTGCTTGAGGCCAGGAGTTTGAGGCCAGCCTGGTCAATATGGTGAGATCCCATCTCTATGAATAAAATTACATATATATATATGCTTGTTTCACTTTAAAAGTTGAAGACTCTCTCCCTTTGGGCTCCCATAAAACCTATGCATGTATCTGTCTGATCACTTTTCACACTTTCCATCTTTTCTGTTCACTCATCCATCTCCCATTAGGCTGGCACTATTGACATTTGGATTAGGCAATTCTTCGTGTGGGGGCTGTCCTGTGCACAGGATACTTGTCCACACCCCTGGTCTCTACCCACTAACTGCCAGCAGCAGCACCCTCCCAATGTGACAGTCAAAATTGTCTCTAGGCATTGTCAAATGTTAAGGGTTTGGGGCAGGGCAAAATCACCCCCAGATTGGGAACGAGATATATAAATTCCTGCAGAACAGGGTTTACCACCTTTTATTTATGTAGCCTAGCCCCAGTCCACCACCCAGAGCCTGACACAGAGGAAGCACTTGGTGAATGTTTAGCTGATGTATGACTACACCAGAGGAACGAAACCCCTTTTACAAAGAACTGCTTGACTTCTCATGCACAGGGTCTCTGTTCTTTAAATGTGTCTCTAACACAGCTGAGTCCTGAGATGGCCCTGATCCTGGACACACAGAATTGAAAAGGTTAAAGACATAGTTCACTAGCAAACGAATGTATTTTTTACAAAGTATGGTATCAGAAAAACAGTGTGTGAAATATCTGGTTTAAATGAAAATGGTCAGTTTTCATAGCACACTTAAAACAAAGATATCCTGCCCTTTTATTTTTACCTCCAAGGAGCATGTTGAAAAGAATGCAATGGCCTTATTGGAGTTTTCATCTTGTAAGATCCTTTAATTGTAAGTTATGTTTTTTTTTTTTCCTTTGGGTTCATTAACAGTTTCGATTTAAAATATGTCCACTTACTCACAGACTGAAGATGTCAGAAGCCCCAGCAGGGACCAAGGCTGGAAGGCCCAGTCTGTAGGTGACTGCTCCCCTGTTCTGCACCCCTCATGCCTCTCCTGTTCCCAAAGAGTTAACTGCCTTCTTCCTCCTCCTTCCCTTCCCCCATCCTTCAGCTTTTTAAATTTAACCTCAGAAGAAACCCCATCTATATTCTTTTGAATTCATGGGCTTTTGAGTCAGGGAAAGGATGACTCTTCTTCGTCTCTTTAATTCAACAGATCACAGAGCCACGGGCGGGTTGCCTCGCTCTGCTGCTCCCGGATGGAATTCAGCTGAGCAGTGGGAGAAGCCAGGGTGGTTCTTAAACTGTCCTCTGGGCGCAGCTGATCTCATTAAACCATGGCTTTTGTTGGTTTTCAGAATAAAGAACAGTCCTGTACTCCTCCGCTGTTCTCCTTTGTGCTAGGGAACCTAGGGACTGTCAGAAATAGAAACGGTGACACTATTCTTGCTTTCTGAACATTGGTTACCGCAGGACAGGACTCAGGGGGAGAAAAAGAACATTTGGTTGAGAATGTTCACCTTTAAAAATACCTCTGAAGACTCACAGCTCTGCCCAGTTACACTAGCTTCGCCTGTGTGGCTTTTGTAATGGGGAGGAAGAGAAAGGATCTCCCCAGGACCGCAGATCATCTTTACTGTGACATCTCTTTCCTTGAGGGACACAACGGGTCCTGAGCAAAATGGGAAAAAAGAAAAAAAATAAAAATACTTCTGAAGGTTTCAGAGCTACATAAGGTAAAGAAACATCGGCATTTACATATCCAATCCCCTGTTTTCATGAACTGCCTTAACCCCCTTAATTAGCAGAGGGCATGGGTATTTGAGAATTATCTTGTCTCTCAGCTTTGACACTTCTCACCTGCTATCTGGTGTTAGTGCTGTGAAATCAGCTCTTGTCTCCCCTAAAGGCAGAAACAACCTAGGACTAATCCCAGCCTCCACAGCAGCACGCAATGGGGGCTCAATTCCTTGGGCTGAATGTCTTGGTCTCTAGGTATTTTAAATTCTTGCTGTGAAGAGCTCTGCTGTACCTGTTGGGGTGTAGCTGGACTCAGGTGTGGGCAAGGTTATGGGATGCTGAGGGTGGAGTAGTAGCAATAAAAGGAAGCTATTACCAGTCCCAGACAGGGGTATCTCCACTGACCAAACCAATCCCAGACAGCCAGGAAGCCCTGGTGATGAAGTCCAAATAGGTCAGCCTCCCAGGAAACAGGGCAGGACAAAGAAGGATAGAAAATGGACCTAGAAGGTCAACAGAGAATGACTAGCATGAGCATTCTCAGACCTGTGGTGTGAATAGTAGGACTGCCACCTTGAGGATGTATGCAGGGTTGTAAGTAACCCATAATCCCAAGCCTCAGAGGGAGTGGAGGGCAAACCCAACTTCCCTTTTAGCTCCATCCCACATTGCCCATGGAGTATAAAACCAGTGGCAGCAGACACAGTAGACCTGCACTACAGGGAGCCCAGCTCTGCCACTGAATCCAGGTCCATGCAGAAGATGTTGGTCCTCTTTCCCAAAGCTCTCCTACAACCCTCACAGCACCAAAGAGGATGTGGCACTAGAACTTGTGGAGATGATCATGGTTACTCAGGTGGTTCTCTGCCCTCAGAGTGCAAGGAAAGAAATACATTAGTCCCCTAAAGTATATTTCATGGAAGTCAAGTCCAACAAGATGCTCTAAGGTCAAATAAGTCTTGGAAGCTTGCATACTCTTTCTAGGAAAATTGAGATACATATTAGCACATTAAAGCCTCTCGGAAGACCTGCAGTAAAGAAATCTGTTTAACACTCTTTATTCTAGAGAATTTAATCACAAATAAGTGTTTCATTAAGGAAACACCTATTCTTACGCCTTGAACCACTTTGAGAAAGCCTTGTTGAACTGAGAGCCAGTGAATGCAATCATAGGCATCAATGACTAGAGTTTGAAGGGGTCATAGATTACTCAGACATGGTAACCATAGTTCTCACCAAAAGTGGACCTTAACTTACCAAGCAAATCCAAGTGAACATTTTTCAAATGGGTTATGTTTTGTAAAGCTAGAATAACATTTTCATCATATAGCATGTTACCTTTTGTTATTTCAAGCCAGCAACAGAGCCAATATCATATCCATCTGTAACCATAGTAACTCTAGTACCTTTATGTTAAAATCTGAAATGCAAAATGTTATAACGTTCCAACTGAGATTATCACAGCATCATAGGGCAAGGAGGATAAAGGCAAGGGAACTAGCTTCAGCCCTTCTGAGATCACTTCTAGGGTCCACCAGTCCCCAGCTGAGAGACCTCAGAAAATCACTAAACCTTCCTAGAGCATAAAAATTCTCGTCTTGAACACAATTATTACAATAGTATCTACCTCAAGGGTTGCTATGAGCATATATAAGTCACATAAAACCCTTGGCTCAGCCACTGACTTTATAAATTAATGCTGTCATCACATCATCATCATCCCCACCATCATCATCATCATTCTCCTCCATCCTTTAGGCACCATCATTTTGGCTGTAAATTCCTGTTCAGCCGGTATCAGTGCCAAACCACTAAATCTATTCTTCCTCCTGGTGCCAGGGAAGTAGGCTTTTAGCGAACACAGAGTAAAAGATGAACATTCTGGCCTTGCTGAGGGCTTGGAGCTTTTTCATCTTGCTTTGTCTTGGCAGGAAAAAAAAAAAGGAACATTAGGGAATGAACATGTTGAAGATGTAAACAGCAATCAGGTTGATGCACATCCCAGGGTGTGATGACATTGAGTTTTGCATGTTTCTGCTAAAATCAAGGTTCCAAGACCTTAGTTATGTTAAGTTCTGTTTAACCATTGCCATGCTTAAATTATTTCACTTAAATAACTCCAAATGTTGTTTTACTGTGTAAAACTGTAGATTTATATTTTAAATTCTTATTAAAATAAATTTACTTTTTTTGGTGTAGATAGGAGAAAGTATAAAAAAGTATAATAAACTTCAAACATCTCTCTCTCTCTCTCTCTCTGGTTATCCCCCTTTTCCCCACCCCCAATTATATTTTTACCCTCTAAAGGGAAGTTTTTCAACTTCAGAAATTTTGTGATACATTATTTGAATAATTTATTCACTCAAATACCTTTGAAATATTTATCATTTCTTTCATTTGACAAAGAACCATTTCCTGTTTAAAAACAAAAATGAATGGCTATGATTAAATTGTGAGGATCTCTTAGAAACAGAATTTCTCTGTATGAAACAGAATTACATATTCAACATATGATAAAGAAATATAAAACAAAAGATAAACTGAAGTATGGCAATTCCCATCAGACATTTGATTCATGGCCCCTGTATGACTGGTGAATCATCTGATGTGACATCGTCTGTGCCAATCAGTGCTGAAAGCTCCCACAGCCCAGGTAATTATGTCTGGTGATGGTGCACAAATTTGCTTTCATCAAACCTGTACCTGCCTTTGCTTCACCTTGAAATGTTTTGTAAAATTGCCAGTTTTAAAACAGATGAGTGAATCACGCCAAGGAATTGACAGAGTGGGAACATCTCAGGCTTCTTTCCCTCACCAACACAGCGTCATGAAGGGAAGGAAGGAAGGGAAGGAAGGAAGGAAGGAAGGAAGGAAGGAAGGAAGGAAGGAAGGAAGGAAGGAAGGAAGGAAGGAAGGAAGGAAGGAAGGAAGGAAGGAAGGAAGGAAGGAAGGAAGGAGGGAAGGAAGGAAGGAGCATAACTTGTGTACCTGAACTCTTGACTTGTCTTCAACTCTTCTGTATTCTTAACCCAAGTTCAGGAAACTGTTAAAGTCTTGGCCATGTGTTTCATTCAAATCAACTCTAAATTGCTGTGATTACAGGTTTAGGATTTTATATATGTTGATTAAACCTCAAGAACCTCTCTTTAAGTAATGACTTTCTTTAGATACATCTCATTTCTTGTGTTGTTGGTTGCTTCATCACATTATTGATTAGGGAGAGGGGGTATGTGTTTCATTCACTCTGGCCCACACCACTTAGTCTGAGTTATTTCAAGGATTTTACCTTGCTCACTTTTATGGGAATAACCTTATAAACTTGTAAGTAAAAAATGTTTCTTTTTCTTAAATTTCTTTATCAGACTTGCTCTCTTATTTTTAATAGCTCTCAAAAATTGTCCTAATTGACAGATAAATAGATTCAACATGCTTCTCTTAACATCACACTATTTTCTAAGAAATATTTTTCAACTACAAACTTCAGGTTTATTTAATTCCCTTAACCTCACTGAAGCATGCAGAAGCTAATTAATCAGAGAGAATTCACTCAAAATTTGTAATTATTTTAAATTATTTCCCTTCTTTCATGTTTTCTGAATTCTTTCTCAAATACTAAATGCTAAACAAAAGTTGTGTTGGCAAAACTCCATCATGAGTCTTTCTCTTTGTTTCTTCTTTAGAGTCATTTTTATAGTCACTGGACCAATACACAATTTGCATAGCTGATGTCATGTATTTTGCACTATTTGAACAAAAGCAACTTTAAAATGCTTTTTCGTACAGGAAAGTTTGTGGGAGAGGGAAGGTGTGGTTGACAGTGAGGGGTGTCAAGACCTCACACATTTAAGTGTGAAGAATGTTCATAAATGTTATAAAAATAACATTCCCCCTGCCATGTTAAGCCCAGTTCTCTCTCTCACTCCCCTGAATTGCTGGGGTCCCCTCAAGGGATCCCAACCAGTCCCAGGTCTGCAGACCTGAACTCAAATGCAGCACTCTCTCTACAGGTATACCTGGCAGCAGGCACTGTGTATGGACTGGAGAGCCAGCTGACTGAGCTGGAAGATGCCGCCCGCTGCATCCACAGCGGCACTGATGAGACCCATCTGGCGGATCTGGAGGACCAGGTGGCCACGGCTGCAGCCCAAGTCCACCATGCTGAACTCCAGGTGAGAACTCTCCTCTCTGTCCACATGGGTCCTGCAGGGTGAAAGAGGAAGCCCCATGTTCTACAAGAATCACTTTAAAGCCATTGTATCTACCAGCTCCCATCATCTCCAGCATGTTTGCATGGATATGGTCCTTCCAGATGAATTCCACCAAATTCTCCCTTTAAAAGTGTAGTCCTCTTCTCCCCCAAGTTAAAGCCTTAATAATATATTGGACTGCCCTTTAAACCTTATACCAGTTTCCTCTTTGAGAAATTTCCTGACCCATACATAGGTCTCTCTACTATACAGGTTTCCATTCCACTCCAAGACCATCCTTTTCTAACCCTTATCATACTGTTGATTACTTATTAAGCAATAATATTAAGTAATATTCCCCATTATAGACTGAAAGCTCTATGAGAATAGAACTATAACTGTGTGGCTTAACATGAAACTCCAGTGCCTAGCACAATACCTGGCACAGACATAGCACACAATAAAAATGGGATGAATAAATGAAGGAAATTGGAAGCATACATTTCTCAGGACAATATTTTTCATGAGGAGGAGGCAGGATTTAGATACAGCTATTTAAGAACTGACTGACATAGTCTTATAACTTTGTGAATATGGCTGTTTGAAGTTTTCATAGACATTCCTGTAGCCTTTGACTCTGTAAATTAAAATTGCCCATGGATTAAGCCACTGATTTTCAAACTGGGGTCTGCAGATATATTCTCGGGACCCATGACAATTTTTTTCTTTAAAAGGGCTCCATGTGTTACTCAAGTTTGAGAGACACTGGTCTCTGCAGCTTAAGCTCAGTATAGACCCCTGGTTTGCTGATATTTCTTTTTTTTTTTTTTTTTTTTGGAGACAGAGTCTTGCTCTGTCACCCAGGCTGGACTGCAGTGCAAAGGCACGATCTCGGCTCACTGCAACATGCACCTCCCTGGTTCAAGCAATTCCCCACCTCAGCCTCCCTAGTAACTGGGGTTATAGGTGCACGCCACCATGCCCAGCTAAATTTTTTTTTTGTATTTTTAGTAGCAATGGGGTTTAACCATGTTGGCCAGACTGGTCTTGAACTCCTGACCTCAGACAATCCGCCTACTTTGGCCTCCCAAAGTGCTGGGATTACAGACGTGAGCCACTGAGATAGATCCTGCATCTTAAAACTGAATCATTGGGAGAACTGTGGTCAACAGAAACCATATTTGGATAGAGACATAAATCAAAGAAACTGACTGAAGTGAGTCTCTGTCATTTTAGAGGGTGTTTTTTTGTTGTTGTTTTGTTTTTGGCCAAGATTGAGGATGCACCTAGAAAAAAAAAAAAAAGAGACAGAAACCACAGTAGGATCTGTGGCTCGTACTTTTTCCAAACAGGATTTTGAGGGTTTCAATATTTAAAGGGGAAAAGTGGGCAGGAGCGGAAAGGGATGGAGGGAAAGAGGGAGGGTTTGGTGACATTCTTGTGAATCTGCCCATTGCACATGAAAAGGAGGGGTAAAGGGAATGGTCAATTATGTATTCATCTTGCACTCAGTAAATCTGTGCTTTACATAAGATAGAGTAAAAGTAAACAGAGAGTAGAGGAAGCAGTCAAATACGCATTCATTTTCAGGTGAGTGAGGGGACAATTTCTAGTCTCCTCTTGTCCTGTACCCACGAAGATAAGCTGTTAATTTCCATTGTCAGGGTGAGGGAAGCTGTGAAGACATGTGGCCTTCTATCTGTAGCTATCAGTTTAGGAACAAAAGGAAAGCCAGTTTTGGGGGGCAGGGAGGAGGGGTTGTGACTCAGCCTCCAAACTTCTCCCTTTTGGCATAGTGAATTGGGGGCCCTGAGATTTTATTTTCATTTCACAGAGAAGATGACAATCTCAGGTGATAATTATTTTAAAAGTAAATACTTTATTGAGTCAAAATTACAACTCCTGACATCATCAGCCACTCTAGAGAATGAAAGGGCACAATTCTCCATTCTGTGGATGGTTCAATGCTATGAACTAGAAATGAGCTCATCAGATAGATGGCTCTGTTGACCATTACCACTAAGAATGGCTGAACAGCAATTCTCCAAAAAAAAATTATTTTCCATAAATTTCACCCAAGACTTAATCAATTTATTGTCAAAGTTATATAAACTAGAATCAAATCACTTCTTGAATGATTTTACAGGAAGTAATATTTACAGGTGTTTGGGAGGATTTTATTGGATAATTATTCCCCCTTTATTGGATAGTTATTCCCCGTTCCACATTTTTCTAGACTGTTATGGCAGAAAACTCTGGAGTTCCAAATGTCCATTTTCCATGTGTTTAAATGTATGCCTATTAATTTTTCATTTATTTTTAAATATTACAATAATATTATCAATAATCCCCAATATTCTGTGAGCGTTATTTTGTACCAGGTATTTATCCTTAATGCTTTACCACATTATTGTATTTATTTTTTCAGCAACCCCACAAGGTAGCTACTGTTACTATTCTCCTTTTATATCTGAGGAAACTTATCCAAGGTCAAATACCTAGAAAGTGATAAAACCTGGATTTTAACCCAAATTTTGTGACCTCATAGCCCACACTCTATTTTTCTTCTTTTGAGACGGAATCTCACTCTGTCACCCAGGCTGGAGTGCAATGGCATGATCTCGGCTCACTGCAACTTCCGCCTCCTGGGTTCAAGTGATTCTCCTGCCTCAGCCTCCCCAGTAGCTGGGACTACAGGCATGCACCACCACGTCCGGCTGATTTTTGTATTTTTAGTAGAGACAGGGTTTCACCATATGAGTCAGGCTGGTCTCAAACTCCTGACCTCAAGTGATCCACCAGCCTTGGCCTCCCAAAGTGCTGGGATTACAGGTGTGACCCACTGCGCCAAACAGCCCACATTCTTTTTTTTTTTTTTTTAATTATTATTTTACTTTAAGTTCTAGGGTACATGTGCACAACATGCAGATTTGTTACATACGTATATAAAGAGTCTGTTCATATCCTTCGCCCCACTATTTTTGATGGGCTTGTTTTTCTCTTGCTAGTTTGTTTGGAGTTCTTTGTAGGTTCTGGATTTAGCCTTTGTCAGAATGAGTAGATTGCACACAAAATTTTCCTCCATTCTCAGTTGCCCTGATACTTGAATGGATAGTTTTCCTTTCGTTGCGTGCAAGACA